AACCTGAACTACTGCTGTGAAGGGACTGATCCTGCACCAATTCCCAGTGAATATCCTTAATTCCCTCTGAAAATGCAGCCTAAAATACTGTTGTGAAGAGTCTGTGTTTTAGGGCAAACTCTTCCACAGCCCGAGGGGCTCCCAACTACATTAACTTAGACAGAGAGGAATTGCTGGGTTTGGTTATCGGAGGGGCTCAGCGACCGCAGTTTTGGCTGCCGTCAGATGCCATTGCGACTCGCTTGGCTTTCATAGGCTGTAAATGCTCCGTCTTGCCCTGCGCTGGCCTGCTGGATGAGGGCGAATGTCATCAAACCGAAACAAGTGACATCTGTAGAATAAATAATTCAACGGGCGAGCATTCACCCCTCGCCGGCGCGGCGCGCTCCCTTCAGTGGCAAGCACGACGAGTGACTGCCGCTGCCCGAAATTTGGGCTTTCGAGCCTTTACGCTGAAAGCGGATCCGTCCTGGGACTCGGCGCTGATGCCGCGGCTGCGCCCTGCTGCTAAGGGTCCCCGAAGAGCGGCCTCGGCGCCGGCCTTTGCCGTCGCTCGCTTTCCCGGTAATCGCACCGTAACGCGGTCGTCGTACCCTCGCGTGGATGTTTTTAACCATCGTAATGAAAACACGGTGCCATTGCCATGCTGTCTCAGTGGATTTGTGGTTAAATTGCTTTGTCGATGTAATCTTATCTCTTAATGACAAAATAATGGCGTGCAACAGGAGCTGCGGAGGCTGCGCTGGATATCCTTTTGCCGTCATTGTGAAGGCCTGCGAACATGATCCCCATTACGGCAAAATTTGCATTAACATTGTTTGGCCAACATAATCCCACCCGGTAATCGCATTTTTTAGGGCATTAAAATAGGTCTAACTATATCCTGAGCTGTAACCCCTGGGCTCCCAAAGAGTCGGCTGGGATTTGGCCAGGACAGCTCTATTAAAGCCAACGGAGTCCCCGTTTGGCTGATGTCTTTTAGCCACCAAATCTTGTTCTTCAGTAGCAAAATGATACTCACTGGCTAAGTCCGCAGTGTCGCGGCAAAAAAAATAACATGAAAAATAGCTGCTGTCCATGCTCTGCTATTTCAGGTTAGCGGTTCGATTCCCACTTCCCTCCATCTGTTAAAAATAATGACTGCTCTCTAAAGACCTGCTGCCTTCGTTAGCCGGATTGCAGCAGTAGGAGACGAGCGTGGCGTGCTCCGGGCCCCGTTGTGCTTGGTGCCCTGAAGAGAGGCGTTCGTTATCCTTACGGAGCCTGCAGCAACGGTCCTCACCTGCGCTGACTCGCAAGCAACCAGCTTTATTTGGGCAGCACTGCATTTTGCTCCCTATTATTCAAAATTTCAGCATCTTTCTCGTTTTCTCAACTCAGGAGCGCAGCTAAGAGCCTCTGGTGAAAGATTTAAGTAGACCATAGGCAGGAGGCAAGGATTGCTCCTAATTTGCAGATGAGAAACTGAGGCACGGACGGATTCACGGACTCGCGCTACCACTGAGTTTCGCAGCTGGTGACTAAGGCAGGAACAGGAAGAGGGGCAGTGTGGTTCAGCGGTCAGAGCGCTACATTAATCCCGGGAGATGGAGATCGGGTTCCCTTGCTCTCCTGCTGCCTCGAGGGCACCGGTGGAGTTGGTTAGGGCAGAATTTGTCTTAGCCTCCGAATACGCAGAGCAAAAAAGTGGCCGAGACAGTGCAGGAGCGTTGCCACCTCCTGCCTGCCTGGGGGAGAAGGGGAGGACAGCAGAACGGGGCATCTGCAGACAGAGGTAGCCTTGGGTGACTTATTCCCCGGTTGCAGAGCAAATAATCATAAAAATTTGGGATAATCTGACTGAGAGGAACCAGCCGAAGGTTACAGTGAGGGCAAGCAGGTCGGAAAGCAGGTTGGAAAGCCAAACCTAGGCTTTGCCTAGGCTGTGATTAGTGAAAACCCGATTGAGGGAAGGACACGAGGAACCTCGGGAGCGAGTTCACGCGGTCTTGCTGCAGCAGCTGGCGCTTGGCGTGTTCCCTGCGGTGGGAGGGGAGAGGACGCGTTTGCAGCGCGTCAAGATGCTGTTGCTGCAGCCTTACTGCTGAGAGGTTGCCGATCCTCGGAAATAAAGACCAGCCCGTTTGTCCCAGGTTTATCAATGGAGACGGGCTCCTCATTCAAGGGCGAGAGAGCAGAGAGCCCTCCAGCAGCCCTGTGCAGGGAGCTCCCGCTCACGCCACCAGCCAGGCTGGGGCTGCCGGCAGGGGAAGGGGGGGTGTTTCTTCACCCCGGGGTGCTGCAGGTCCGCGCGGGAGCTCGGCAAGCGCTCCGCCTGGCGCAGCCTAATTGGCTTTGATGGGATTACGGTGAGGCGGCCGCAGAGTAAATAAGGCCAAGGAGGCCAAGCGGCGCCTGGGGTGGCCGGGCCAAAGCCCCCGGAGAAATCCCTTGACGGGGAAGGTTGGGGAGTGGGGCAACGCCAGGCGCTCGAGGGTTAATGCGTGTTTGGGTTGCGGGTGATGGAGGAAAGGGTTGTACCCTGCTCCCGGTTTTTGGAGAAGGGCTTTTCCTAGCAGCGCTCTCCGGATGGCTTTGCTGGCACCAATTTCCCCCGGGTTTACCCCGACGGAGATCCAGAATAAACTGTTGCAATTATGGAAGGTTGCCTCAAGCCTTTTGTCATCGATAAATGTTTATGGTATGAAAGCAGCCTTGTTTGTTTGCCTTAGACCAGATGACAGTGATTTATTGGCAGAAATCCTGGCAGAGGAAAGGGATGAGCCAGACAAGTCTTGAAGTGCTACACACATGTACGCGGTGCGCAGCTGATGGCTGTTTCATGCTCACGAAACGCGCAGGAAATAGCTCCTCGCGCTGGGATGCCAGCAGTCGTTTCGAGGAATTTTCCTGGCTTTCCTAACCTACAAGCAACGCCGGTAGCTCAAGGGTTAATGATCAGCCCAGGCTGTGCTTCCTGCCCTGTCCGGGGGCTGGGAAACTTGGGAGATGCTCCGAGTTGAAAGGGAGGAGTGCTTGCTCTCGCTGGGAGCACATCCTGGATTTGCGCTATTAATTGCGGTAGCAGAGACGGGGTGAGCGGATGGGGATCTGTTGGCCCAGCTGTCTCCTCCAAGGCCAGCTTGCAGCCTCGGATGAAACGGGCCTCCATGGATGGGGTTTAAAGCCAAGGATGGAGGTGACAACAAGGGACATGCATCAAACTCCATGGCAAGGTGCACGTCCCCGTGCAAGCAGGATCGCAGGGGACCGTCTTCGCAGGGGAGCCTGCAATTTTCCTGGTGGTGTAAAAAATTGCCATGCTGGGCATGCTGTCCGGAAAGAGCACCAGGGATGATTTTGGGAGATGCAACCGCCACGGGCGGCTTAGCCAAAGGCTCTGCTTGGCCTCGACGCCGCGTGGGAGGCGGGACCCCTCGGTGTGCCTAATTCCTGGGAAACCTGACGGGTGGGCGCTGATGCCTTGGGACAAAGGGTTTTTTTCCCCGCGTCGGCTCTGCCAGCGTCGGTCCGGCGTTCCCGCGCCCGGTGCGGAGCCAGCTCTGGCGGCGCTGTTTAGTGTTGATTTTCCCCCGTGCTTGGCTTCTTTTATGGCTTTGTATATTTTGTGCAGCTTGTTGCTAATTTAAAGCATAAATAAGTTTGATCTTTTCATCTGTTTCTCTCCCTACCTTCTGGAGGCTGTTCTAGTTAAAAATAACCGCGGTAATAAGCCGGAGTGGGGCTCCAATCTGCCGGAGCGCTTCTAACCTCCTTCGCAGCGGGACCACCCGGGCGACGCGGGGAAGGCGGCGCGGTCGGACCTCTCACACCTCCCTGAGCCTCGTGGCCGGGCTTCTTCCCGAGCGGGTAATTCCCTGAATTGCCCAAGCCCTGTTTGGCACGTGCCTTGGGATTAGAGGGCTTTGGGAGAGCGAGGGGTGGGTTGGGGAGAGCTCTGGGGGCAAATCTCACGGGGCCGGAGCGTTTGCACGAGCCGTGCTGGGTGCTGGTCGCCGCGGTGGAGGCTTTTTCCTTTAAAAAAAAAAAAAAAAGAACAAAAAACCCTTTCATCAAAATTGATCGATTTGCATAAGATCAGTTCAAGGAGGTG